GTATACCGTATATATATGTCCTATGACGGAATCCATGCATGTGCATAATTTTCTCCCTTGTTTACTATGCCCCGTTCAACTAATTATCATTGCGCTTCAATGCAAAACACAAGACGGACCGTTTTGCCACCGCGTGCGCAAAACGAGCTGTACATTCAGCGTAATTAAATAAACGAGCAGAATATATGTGTGTATGTGTGTATGCGGTGGCTCTAAACGTTATGGCTCATGCAAACAGATGGGGGATATGCTCGAAAATCACACAGATACCATACCACTTGGCACTGGATGTTATAGCGAGTGGCGGCTTGTGCCCTTATTTAACCCGGAAAATGCTAAGGGCGACAACACGCTCTTGCTGAGGCGTGACTTCTGGGTGTTAAATGGACAGCAGATAGCATGCACTGGAAGCCTCTGGTCCAAGTGTATAATTTTAAGAAGGTAAAAAAAAGAACGACAGACGAGGTGGCTTAGGGGGTTAGTCACTGATCCGGTACTTCTGATATCCTGGAATCAACTCTGGGTTTCAGTAATCTGTGATTAAACTGGGCTCTCCAGTGTAGCAAGGCAATATTGTCCATCCAGTTGCTAATAGCTCATCTCATTGCATTTCTTTTTTCACTTAATTTGCTGAAAATCCAGCTCGATATGAAAGTAAATGGGTTTGATTGGCATGTGACAAACCTCTCTCTATCGCAGGGCCTACAGGAGAGCGTAGCGCACCTGCAGTGGAATCTCAGAGTAGTTCTGTGATATCATCTTCTGCGGATCATTCTCTACTGTCGAGTGATTCAATGCTCTGTGAAAATTCCGAGGTGACTATTTGTCTCGTGACATGACGAAGACAGCACAATTGGAATGCAATAGGGAAAAAGATGAGTATTTCAAGAAGGTAAAAGATGTAACGATTCACTGTTGAATTTAACATGACATAGTATAAATCTGTTCGTGGACCTGGGCCAGTGGTGACAGCTCTACATTCATATGACTGGAGACAATCTCATAATAGGAATACACCTGTCGACTTCCCAAAGAGTTAAAGTCTGATAATGATGAAAAAACCCATCAAAAACAGAAACATGACCACAATGCAGTTCTTCCGAACTGGTGGTATTTTATAACGCACAGGGCAATGAGCTTTTCTGCATGAAATGTACACTTTTGTGTATTGCTAAATATATTTTTGACAATCTTTTGACAGCTAATGAGTTTGGATTTGAGACCTTCCAAATGCGAGTCACGCATTCGAATTACTTTGTTGGTTCCCACAATGGCAAAGTGGATTTTCCAGCACTGCCAATGAAGAGAAACACTGCACCATGCTTGTTAAACAGAGATTATTTGGCTTGGATCTGACATGCAGCTGGAACCAGTGTCGCCACGAACACAACCACTGCTCTTGATACTGCAGGGGTGCTGCCCTGGTGTAAATGTTAGCACACTGGACTTGCAATCGTGAGGTCCCTGGTTTGATTTGTAACAGTTGAAACATTGGGCAATGTCCTATCTCCCCGCTCTGTCCGCTTAGCGGTGTACATGGGAACACTGATAATGCGACCTTAGCAAGGTCACGTATGGTGGAGTATAGTGTGGGCACTCCGATTTCTATCCAAAACGTCTGGCTGGCATTAAAGTGTAGGCCACAATATAAATATGCACACCTCTCTAGAGCTTTCTCCAGTGTGAGCCCTTTCGCTAGCTGCGGCACGAGTAAGAAATGGCAGGGCTGCAACTTTACCATTTATCCTTTACCGATTGATACTTCTAAAGCCTTAGCGCCGTACAAATTGCAGCCAAGAACTGACCTGGTTGATATGTTGTGTTTGGAAACACCAAAACGGGAACATTGCCTTGCAACCGCGCATCGGCTGCTCGATGGCGCCCTCGCGGGAGGCGTGCTCCGGAAGAAAAAAAATGCGCATACGACCTTTCGGGAATCAAGGGACCTGGGCGTGTGTCACTGCCAACGCTCCCCGCCGGGGGGGAAGGGGAGTGGTGATACCGGCTGAGCAGAGCCTCCCGTACCCGAGATTTATCAACCTCGCCGCTCCCAAAGCGGGCCCGGAGTGTGACTCACCCTGGGAAGCTGAGCTCCCGGGTCACCCCACCCACACACCCACCCCCGCCCGCCCCCATCGCTCACGCTGCACCGTCAGCGCGCGCCGGTCACTCGCCGTTTTTTTCCCCGATTGGACGCCGACGACGACGACGTACTCGTTACGCGATGGGCGCTCAATTACCGCTTAATTGCACAAATCGACGTTAATGAAAGCAGCTCAAGAGGTCGAAGTGCCTCCACGCTCAAACGAGCCTCTGGGCGGGGGCAGGGGAGCCCTGCGTGTTGCTCCCGGTGGCCTTGAGACTTTGGTAGAAATTCCACATTCACTTTGGCAGGGGGACAGTTTGTCTACAGGGCAAGCAGTTTGGACCTTCCCACGAAGCGGTACTTTTTTTTGTTATCAACGGTTACAGGAATTGTTTTTTTTGTTCAAACGTCAAAGTGTGTTTTGCTCAAATGAGCATTGTCGGCAGTGCTCAGCTCTTGATTATCGTCCTGAGCCATTGGTTGCAATTCCACATTCCTGTGGCAGGGATGATGATTGTACGATATGTGAATTGCATATTTCCCTTTTTAAAGCATTTTTTTTTAAGAAAATACTTTTTTGTATCATGACGTAAATTAATATTCTGCATTGGCGTCAAAGTGATTTCTTTCTCAAATGACCATTGATGCAGGGCTCAGCTCCTGTTTACAGCCTTGCGTGAGTGATGGGAATTCCACATTCCTGTGGCAGGGGAGAGTCTCTCCAGATGACGACCACCGTTCATTTCCTCTAAGGTGTGACGCTCACGCTAGTGAGTATGGAAAGACGATTTGTCGAGTCAACCCTAAACGAGGATTTGCAATTGCAACCTTCCACTCGCGAGTAAAGAGCTCGAACAACATAGCTGTCGCCTCGTCAGCTCCGCTCGCATGGAAGGGCACGCAGCAAAAACACGAACTCCGATGCATCGGCTCTACAGGATGCAACACTTATAACGTCATCCTTTGGCAACTAAATAATGGAAAGTTCGTCTATCGATGCCGCAAAGTAAACGTGATGAATTGCGTCTAATATTTGAAAGGAAATTGGAGGAATAAAGGCAATGCAATATTTTACGCACATTTCCATCTGAACAGACGCCATTTGTGCATCGATGTATGAGTCCATTTGACATTGAGAAGGAATAGGCCACAGTACGTTCGCATTGGGGCCAATATTTAAGTGCCAGAAATCAATAAGTAATGTTCCCTCAAAAATACACAAGTGACCTTATTTAATGTGCTGTGCACAGCTTAATTTGGATACACACGGGCACGGATTTTATACTTTTCAAGTTCTCTGCTGAAATTTCGCACGCAGAACGATGAGCAGATCATGGTAAGCTTCTGTTAGTTGTTACGGCATGAAGCGTTCAGCTAATTCGTAGCTGTGTTTTAATATTCAACGGACCAAAACTTGGTTTAACTAAAACATGTATTGTTGAAGCATGGATAACAAGCCAACATCAACAAGGAAAACGTTGTATGCAGATCAACCTTGCATTGGCAGCTGGAGCAGTAATTTTAATACAGCATAACAAGGGATTTCATTCTAAATACACAGCCATACAACATATTAAATGACAGAAGCTAGATTAAATTCAAATTGTATTTCTGCTCAAATGTGTTTGGGATTATGCCAATCTCTTTGCTAACCCACGCTGAGGCAGTGCTGCAAATTCCAAATTCACATGCCAGCCTTGAGTCACTCCATAGCATGGACATTGCATTGTATGCAGCGCTCTAAGTGAACTCCTATTGACAACGGACAAACTACGATGACAATGGTTATATTTTGGATGGCCCAGCTCTGGCATCGGAATTGGGAATTTCGATAAATTGATTAGGGCCCCAATGAGAGGCAAGTACCGTCTCGATATTCATTTGAGCAGGTAGACACTTTTGACTTTGATATCTGTCAAATTAATCCCACGTGGCCTTGGCTTGATCAAATTAAGTTGAAAAATAGATTTGTTTTTGCACGGCGATAGGTGACCTGGCTCAGACTATCAGATTCACAATGTCACGATCATACAATAGCCTCCACTTGCAAATGATGTTCGAGACTGTTGAGCATCGAAATTAAAAAAAACACAGAAAAGCTTTGAGTAGTTTTCACACACACACACAAAGTCTATTATCCGCCAGCGGTAGCTCAAATTAAACCATGTTTGCTGGAACGAGTTGGCACAGCAGCGAATGCAATGACAATTGCGCTACACGACTACCCTTGCGGTGTGCAAATCCCCCTTGTATGAAGCCTGACAGACCAACAATGGGAGAGCACATTGCGTCAATGCATCGGAACGACTTACCAAGACAAGTCGTTCTGATGCACACTGGCGCCGCCAAACGTCAACATACCCAGGAAGGCGTAGCAAAGTAAAAGAGTACTAACAATACAACTCGGAGTACCATACTGCAATGCTGTGCGAGGCGGTTGGGTGGCTTAGGGAGATAATACCTCCGATGGGCACGGTTGGCTGTGTACGGTGCGAAAGAAGTTCACCATTCATACAATACTGTGGCAATAGCCAAATCAATGAGCACGAGATACGCCTTCGTCAACCGCCCTAAGAATGCATACATTGTTCCCTTTTTTTCGTCCCAACAGCTTTCCTCCAACAAATTTGGAATTCCCCGAACGTCTTCTCTATTCCCAGGCTCTCATAACCTCGCCCAATGCAGGGAGCGTGTTACACTCTCTTATCTGCGACAAACAACTTGTGATGGTGCTATTTGTTGCCGTGCCCGTTTGATGTTTTGGGCCTGCGCTCAGCAGCTGCGTTAGAAACATATATTTGTTTTTTTTTCTTCCAGCGAGCCATGTACGTTTTACACTAAACGGGACGTTAATGAGGCAGCAGCAGCGGCGGCGGCAGAAGATGCAGGTGTGTGTTGTTCGCTGGGCCCTCACCTGTGAAGTTGGCTTGCTCCTCCCCGTCGCACAGCAAGCGTTCTGAGCGCACCGTGGTCGAGATGCCCAGTAGAAGCACGAACAGCATCTAGCCGCCCAGGAAACAGGTTGCGTCAGCTGGGTTCACTTGACCATGTGTGTTGAACTTCTTTCGCACCGTACGTAGCAAATCGTGCTTATCGGGGATGCGGGGGAAGGACGACAATTTAAATTAAAAAAGCAGAGGCGTTGGGAATTGCCACTCCCCGGATATGCCAATGATCTTATCATCGGGGATGTTTGGCTGGCAGGGCTCAAGACTGAGGCGGGTGTTAACGCACCTCCGATTACCACGGTTGGCTACGTACGGTGCGAAAGAAGCTCAACATTCATACAGGAGTGCGCACACGACGGCACCGATATGAAGAATGGCATCTCCGGGAGCAGCCAAGACCTGTACGTGTGTTGAAATTCTTTCGAACCTTAGATGGCCAGCCGTGCGAATCGGCGGTGTGGGGGAAGGACAAACTAAACACAAAAAGCAATTCTAAAGACATTATTTTTCAATCTAGATTATTTTAACGTGCATAACTCTAGTGACTTCCTGATATCTGAAGGAAGAGCGTTCCAGACGGCCGCAGAAGCGCATCTGAAAGGGGCTCACATCAGTCTCTTAACCGTTTCTGAGGTGCGGGTCAAATTGACTTTGGGGCCGTACACAAATGACGTCACGCGATTTTGGACGATTTTTGCCCCCCCCCCTCGTCACACGGCGTCACAAAAAGTCAGACCCCCCCCTCAAATATGACGTCACAAAACTCTGCACCCCCCCCCCTCCCAAAACCATATTCCCATTTTGAAAATAAAACATGCTTCAAATCGCTTTAAACTATTGTCATTGTAGTGCGTATTTAATGTGGCGCTGCACTCTGATGTTGTAGGAGTGTTGTTATAACAATTAGTGTTGTTATAACAATTCTATATTTATTTAAAGTTTCGCATTTTGATGTGACGTCGCATTTCTCAAACCCCTCCTCCTCGTCACACATCGTCACAAATGTCTGACCTCCCCCCCCCCTCTCTAGGTGCGTGACGTCATTTATGGACGGCCCCTTTGAGGAGGGAAGTTATAATTTGGGGGGGCTCCAATTTGTACAATGAACACTGAGGCCGCGGCTCAGCTCCTGGTTAAGGTGGCACTTGGTACGGTGGGGTGAATTTACTATCCCAGTCATTTGATCAACTCCGGGAAGGGGGCCGCAGTCAAACTCCAAACAGGATTTGAACTCGCAACCTTCCGATTGCGAGCCACTCGGAGTCTACCACCACCCATGCCAAATGCCCCATTGGTATTTTGCCGTGGTTACCTCACAAATTACTCGGTGACTGCGTTGGCAGCGGTTTCACAAGCGAAAACAACAACAACAAAACCCCCCCATAAAATTATACCGTGTCAAATTTGATATTAAGAAGAGTCGTCGTTTGAAACGTCACCTACTGTTACGTTTTACATTTTAAGACGAATGTTATTAAGTATTTTGGTTGCTTCAGCACTGTTTTTTTCTTAATGTTATGTACGCGTTGCAAAGCGTGATCAACATTAAAATGAACGAAACTAATTTCATGTCGGAACATGACCAGCAGCGGTACGCATAGTGATGCTGTTGCTTTAATGACCGAATTTTACCGTGGAATTTAGTGCTACTGCATTGCCTTTCAACCATTATAAAGCAGTGCTGTGTATATATGTTGGGGCTTGGGAGGTGGGGGGCTCAATGGTCAAGCCCCTATAGCCCCTGCTGCGTTAATCTGGCCCTGGGCTCGACTTGTGTTGGGAGAAATAGGGTGTTTAACACGTAGTAGTAATGTGGAGTAGAGGGTGTTTAACACGTAGTAGTAATGTGGAGTAGAGGGTGTTTAACACGTAGTAGTAATGTGGAGTAGAGGGTGTTTAACACGTAGTAGTAATGTGGAGTAGAGGGTGTTTAACACGTAGTAGTAATGTGGAGTAGAGGGTGTTTAACACGTAGTAGTAATGTGGAGTAGAGGGTGTTTAACACGTAGTAGTAATGTGGACTATAGGGTGTTTAACACGTAGTAGTAATGTGGACTATAGGGTGTTTAACACGTAGTAGTAATGTGGAGTAGAGGGTGTTTAACACGTAGTAGTAATGTGGAGTAGAGGGTGTTTAACACGTAGTAGTAATGTGGAGTGCAGGGTGTTTAACACGTAGTAGTAATGTGGAGTAGAGGGTGTTTAACACGTAGTAGTAATGTGGAGTAGAGGGTGTTTAACACGTAGTAGTAATGTGGAGTGCAGGGTGTTTAACACGTAGTAGTAATGTGGAGTAGAGGGTGTTTAACACGTAGTAGTAATGTGGAGTAGAGGGTGTTTAACACGTAGTAGTAATGTGGACTATAGGGTGTTTAACACGTAGTAGTAATGTGGACTATAGGGTGTTTAACACGTAGTAGTAATGTGGAGTAGAGGGTGTTTAACACGTAGTAGTAATGTGGAGTAGAGGGTGTTTAACACGTAGTAGTAATGTGGAGTGCAGGGTGTTTAACACGTAGTAGTAATGTGGAGTAGAGGGTGTTTAACACGTAGTAGTAATGTGGAGTAGAGGGTGTTTAACACGTAGTAGTAATGTGGACTATAGGGTGTTTAACACGTAGTAGTAATGTGGACTATAGGGTGTTTAACACGTAGTAGTAATGTGGAGTAGAGGGTGTTTAACACGTAGTAGTAATGTGGAGTAGAGGGTGTTTAACACGTAGTAGTAATGTGGAGTAGAGGGTGTTTAACACGTAGTAGTAATGTGGAGTGTATGGTGTTTAACACGTAGTAGAAATGTGGAGTAGAGGGTGTTTAACACGTAGTAGTAATGTGGAGTAGAGGGTGTTTAACACGTAGTAGTAATGTGGAGTAGAGGGTGTTTAACACGTAGTAGTAATGTGGACTATAGGGTGTTTAACACGTAGTAGTAATGTGGAGTAGAGGGCGTTTAACACGTAGTAGTAATGTGGAGTAGAGGGTGTTTAACACGTAGTAGTAATGTGGAGTAGAGGGTGTTTAACACGTAGTAATGTGGAGTAGAGAGTGTTTAACACGTAGTAATGTGGAGTAGAGAGTGTTTAACACGTAGTAGTAATGTAGAGTAGAGGGTGTTTAACACGTAGTAGTAATGTGGAGTAGAGAGTGTTTAACACGTAGTAATGTGGAGTAGAGAGTGTTTAACACGTAGTAGTAATGTGGAGTAGAGGGTGTTTAACACGTAGTAGTAATGTGGACTAGAGGGTGTTTAACACGTAGTAGTAATGGGGAGTAGAGGGTGTTTAACACGTAGTAGTAATGTGGAGTGTAGGGTGTTTAACACGTAGTAGTAATGTGGAGTAGAGGGTGTTTAACACGTAGTAGTAATGTGGACTATAGGGTGTTTAACACGTAGTAGTAATGTGGAGTGCAGGGTGTTTAACACATAGTAGTAATGTGGAGTAGAGGGCGTTTAACACGTAGTAGTAATGAGGAGTAGAGGGTGTTTAACACGTAGTAATGTGGAGTAGAGAGTGTTTAACACGTAGTAATGTGGAGTAGAGAGTGTTTAACACGTAGTAGTAATGTAGAGTAGAGGGTGTTTAACACGTAGTAGTAATGTAGAGGGTGTTTAACACGTAGTAGTAATGTGGAGTAGAGGGTGTTTAACACGTAGTAGTAATGTGGAGTAGAGGGTGTTTAACACGTAGTAGTAATGTGGAGTAGAGAGTGTTTAACACGTAGTAGTAATGTGGAGTGTAGGGTGTTTAACACGTAGTAGTAATGTGGAGTGTAGGGTGTTTAACACGTACTAGTAATGTGGACTAGAGGGTGTTTAACACGTAGTAGTAATGTGGAGTAGAGGGTGTTTAACACGTAGTAGTAATGTGGAGTAGAGGGTGTTTAACACGTAGTAGTGATGGGGAGTGTATGGTATTTAACACCTAGTAGTAATATGGACTATAGGGTGTTTAACACGGAGTAGTAGGCTTTTGCGACCAGTATTATCCATAAGAGGTTTTTGTTTTTCAGTCAGATCGTGTGAATATAAATGCATCGTTAAACCCGCCATCACCCGACACAGCAAATTAATAAGGTTCGTCACGTAAGAAACACGCGCCAATTATTTACAAGTAACAGCACACCAGTGTGTTGGAGAGTAAACCCATAACATTTATTATTCCTTATTAGTACAGCAAACCGGTGTGTTGGAGAGTAAATCCACAACATTTACAATTCGAGTTGTCTCCGGTGGTGGCGGGTTGAACGACGCATTAATAAATCAACTTCTTATAGTGCGTAAACGATATGTACATTCACATCCAATTATCATATTCTTGGTTCTTTCGGTAAAGTCAAGTAGAAGGGAAACAGACCGCATCCATTAGTTTCGTCTCCCCCCTCCTCTTTCCGAATATAGATGGACTCGTCCATCTGAACAAACTGTCAAATCGTTCTCCGTGGTGCTATCGTTAAAAAAAACGCCACTTTTTTCAAAATTTCTTGCTGTGGTCTTTACACTTGATGATGATTGCTTGTGTTGCAGTCGAAACGTCGTGAGAATTTTATTGTTTTATATTTTTTTTATTATTGTATTGATTCCCTTCTACGTGACTTTACCGAAAGAACCGAGAATATGAATCCCTGCAGTCACGAAAGGTTTAAATAAAAAAGCCCATAATCGATCAAACTGCTGGATGTATCAAGTGGGGAACCCGTTTGGGTGGACTCACGCTACAACTATTCATCATTTTTTTATGATTTTGCTTTGATTGTCGGGTTTTAATTTGCTTGCTATGTGTGTGTGTGCTTATCCAACTGCGCACATGGGATTTGGTCCTTTTTTATAATTAATTTACAGCGTTGTGGAATTCTGTTGCCATGAATAGCCGCTACATGATACTATTATCACTCGCTGCTTGCAATCATGCATTTCCCGTTACGTTTGGAGCTGTGGCGGGTTTGGTGCGGTGCTCATCTTCGATAAAGCCTCCGAGCTAGAGGTGGAATGTCCACTTTCCTATGGAAGCATCACAGGGCAACCTCTGGTGACGTCCCACGATTTCTGACCTCGC